TCATAGTCATTAATAGCTAAATCATCGGCAATGAATCGAGTAAGTTTATCAAGAAATGTGTTTGTCAAAAATAGTTTCTGATACGATATTCGTTCGATTGGTCTCTCATAAATTGGGTTCAAATCGTCATTGTTACCAATATAGAAACATGTTAACGGTTGATTTTTGTACAAGCATAGATTGACGATTAGATTACTTGTTTCATAGAAACACTGTTCGTCTTGTTTCGTCATCGGAATGAATGTTGCTTTCGTAAGTAACATTTCAAGTGTACGTCCAACAATAATAAAAAATGTATGCTTCATTATTTGTACATTGTCAAATAATTTCAATGTATGGATTGATGCCAACTCATTACAAATAGTAGTAAGAACATGTAAACCATCAGTTTGGTTGTGTGTATTATTTAAAAATAAGACAATCTCATCGAGCATTTCCTTTATATTAGTGACGGTTACATTCGTACAACTTTTACGTAACTGTCGGGTAATGGATACAGAGCGCTGTAATAATGAATCCATTTATTTGAATAATAGAAAAATTTTCAAATCTAAAGTATAAGAGATCAAAACAGCATCATTTTGAAGTTTTGACTTCATCTAATTTAGGTCTAATATTATCAAAAATTTGACACGCATGTAAATATTATCAAAAATCTGTAATATGTTTATATCTGCGTGTAACCGATCTACTTCTAAATGTATATAAGATAGTGTTCTTGTATTCTCTATATGTATGCAATTAAGCTAATTTACTGAATGTCTGGATAACTTGATATTTATCGCTATCGATTGCAAGTATGAAGTATTGTCGACATACATTCATTTCATACGTCAATAATTATATGTTAACTTTTGTTTCTGTCACCTGAATTTCATGATCCAAATAAGAAATTTATTCAAATCTTAAATCTGAAAATATTCAGATTTGACACGCGCATAATGGCTCGTTAGACACATGCACTGGACGTCAACCTTAGAAAACTGAAACTATTTGAAATAACTGACTTTCAGAGAAAAGTAGCGATCGCATTGAATGAGATATGTCATCTAATAGAAACAAGCTTCAGATTGTGCATATTTGCTAAGGTTGTTGAACTCAGGTCATTGGTACGGTTATCATTTTCTTTTGAAAGTTGATAGGTGATAAAAATTGGTCAAAGGTTTTAGTTGTTATAGCTTAAGTTCGGACTATTAATCGAAATCATATCTATCAAGTATAGTTAAAAACTATCAGTCATAATTAGAATTCTGTTCACAACTATCGCTATCAACGATTTAGCTCTATCAACTTAACCGTGCTTTGAATAGAGTTCTATTACATTGCATTGTTATTTTCTTTCTTTCATAGTTTCCTGTCTTTTTCTCCTTTGAAGTTATCGTTTTTTTTTAATTTCTAGAACACCAATAAGCAAATTTTCAACAAAAACAAGGAAAATTTCGTAAATTTCACAGAAACGTGTTCTAACAATTTTGTTCGCTTAGAACTTTCAGTAACTTTTCAAGGCTGCAAAATTTCCAAACTTGTTTTTCTATACTGGTGTATGATCCTGATAATCAAAGAAATTTTGGAAATTCTCTTCTGTAGAAAATCTGCATATATTCCCTAGATGAGAAGCAATCCATTGGATAATGGAAAGAAGCAAATACAGAACAGCACACGTTAATTAAATTAAAGTGGTTGATAATTATAAGCGTTGTTGATAGTAATAACTTTAGCTGATAGATATAGCCATACGTGTTATAGAATACTTATTTCGAGAATGTACTGGAGTTTACACTGACTGTGCCTGAATGGAATGAAACTTTTAGAGCTTGTAAGACTCTTGTCTATAAGCATAATTATGGGCGCAAAAAAATTTGAAAACCTTGCACAGCGGTCAAAAAATGGAAAAGACAACTATTTGGGAGTCTGGGTGGCTAAGTAAGGTGTTCTTTCAATTTTTTTTCATCCAATCGAAATGTTCAGTCATTTGATCTTTGGTGATTAAATGTTTTGCAGTTTGTTACGGACTAATCCTTATTATAACAATTTAGCATCTAATATGCCTTTTATTAGACTAGTCTGTAGATTTTTCCTCTATTGTGTTATCTAGATATAGATTGTTTACATTCTAAACATACTATGTTATCATAAACATTTTGAACGTGCATCCCTCACATTTGCAATTGTAGAACTTTTTTCTCTAAAGATAAATCTAATCAAGCTCTTCACAGAGAAGATGGTTGCTGTAGCCAACGAAGGAATAAATGGGCCATTGTTCAATGAAAACTCTTCATGATTTTTTACTGGCAGAACTTTTTGAAGAAGTTATTTGACTCACACTTATTCCTACTGAACTTTTGAACTATAGATAAAGGCTGTTCAATACTCAATAATTACTCAACATATCACTGCATGCGATGATTAATATTGAAATTCGAAGAAAAATCGCGGCACTATGAGAAATGTATAATAGCAGAGCTAACTAAGCTATTAAATAATAGTGCTTGTTTTAGTGACTTATTTGATAGAGTCAATGGTCGAGAGAGTTCAATTTCAGAATCGAGGTCAGCTTCCAATGAATTCCAAAAATACTGGATCTATCTTCCTGAGGTAAAGCATTGTATCGAAAGCTAAAGCCTCCTCTTTACGTACCTATATTCAACAATCACTCTCCCTATCCCTATTGTCCGTATATAAAAAGTATATAAATAGTCAGTAGAATAGCCAATATTTCCTTTCGTGCCTCTACTCTTTGCTATAGCACTTTACGCAATGCATTTACGACAATCTTATAGAGAGTTTCAGTGGAATTAAGTAAATGAACTTTCTCGATGAGTCATTTATTTACTCTTGCTTCATATGATGTTCATTTTCGATGAGAAATGTTTGTTTTTTTACTTTACATATCTGTTGAAGATTCGCACAAATTTTGTAATTCAATTATATTTTTTATTTTGGCTTGAAGAAATTCGTGTGTGCATCGACGCGGTTGCTTGATTATCCAACGTTTATTATTTGGATCATCTAATTCGTTAAGTTTTCTTATTTCTTCTTCTGTTTTCAATTCATTACCAATTTTGCCTTGTAAAATGTCCGAATGTAAATTAATTCTGTCTTCTTTCATATCGGCTAAGAGTTGTATTGATCTTTCGACTAGACGCTCCCAAGCAGTGGGGTTTTCCAGTAATTTTTTCGCTTTGTTGTTTCTCATTCGTCTCTTTTTGTATTCGCTCAATATCATGGGATCTTCAGTAATATCCCATGCAACTTGGCCTTCTTTAAGTTCAGTTGTAAAGTTCGAATTATGTACAACTTTTGAAAATTTTGTGTCGAACTCATGATTTGACTTGTTCAATTTAGTTTGTTTGCTCCGGTGTGGTAATTTTTCTACTATACGACGCTGTTTTCGTGTCTCTTCTCGAAATACAATATCTCTATCAATCAACGTCTGAAAATAATGATATGCTTCGTTATGACTAAACCACGAACCAATAATTGATGGTGGATAACAAAAATAAATTTCTGGTGGTGAATGAACAAAATCGGAATATATTGTACTTGTTGTCCACCATGGATTTTTGTTTAATAGTAATATCGGATATGGAGCATTATTAAAATCGCCTGTGAGAGTAAATGGCGGTATGTTACCTCTTATTGTAGTCCCACTTGATGACTTGCGCATCCAGCGTTTAATGCACAAGCAAAGATTGTTCAAATTACTTTGAGTTCTTGCTTTTTGTTCTAAAAAAACGCAAGGAGCATATAATGACTAATGCTAATAGAGGTCCAAAATCAAACTAGCTTCTCTTGACAAACATCGATTCTTCATTATTAAATACTAAAGTGATCGAATTATTCAAAGTAACTCTATTTAATCATTCTCTACATATAAATATCTGCTATTTCTGTTTATATTAATTTTCATACTTCTACTGAGAGAGAAAGTCCTTCTTGCACAAACATAATTTGTATAGATTTTCAGATCATTAATCACAAACAATATACAGAATTTTTATACGAAAAATGTTGTAATTTACAGGATCTTTCGTTGGAAAATACAACAAATTGTACTCAATCGATTATTCTTTCCTTCATTTACTAAATCTTATACGATGAGTGAAGTTGTGAGGTTGTGAGTGTGGTTGTAGGAGTAAGTGTTGCTTTACTGTCCACTTATACCTACATTCCACGCCCATTGGGTCCAACCAGAGTGAGTGTAAGATACACAGTTTATCTCTTCAGACTTTTGTCGTGATTGGAAGAAAGAAGCAGCTGATCTTATTGACTCCATTAGCTCCATTGATTCTAATGAAGTCAATGTAGTCACTTGAAGTGAATGAAATCATGGAATCAGTTGTTTCCCTCTCATATTTTCTCATTTTCAAAAACTTACCACTTGCGTAAAGTTCTTTTCTTCGTCGGTATGAATTCAATGAATATTCGCGTTTGTGATGTTCAGTTGTTTGAATGACTTCTTGTCCGTATGTTTGTTGATGGATTTCTTCATCTTCATTGATCACTTCTGCTCCAATGTCTACTCCATTTTCTTCATTCTCAGTTGCTTCGTAAGATTGTTCTCCGTTTTCTGGTTCGTTTTCAATGCCAAGTAGATTATACTTTCTGCAGTCTTTGATAACCAACATTAAACATTCCATTAATTTGGTTACTTCATCAGTTGGGATCTTATCTCGGTCGTTAATCTTTTCAATTTCTTTCTTATAGATTTCTTCTCTCTGACGTCTTTGTTCGATCGTCATTTGCGGTTGCAAATTTTGTTGATGTGATATATCTTCGGGTTGTTTTTCTATATTCGAATCGATTGGTAGTATGGAATATGTTCGGTCAACACTGTCAGGTTTTGTGTATTGAAGCTACAAAGATAAAAGCTTTTATTAGTAAGAAATACAATGAATCCCACTAGTAATTTGTCCGAGACCCAATCTCTCAGAAACGAAAGCTCAAAGGTTCTGAACAGAATAAAAAACCAAGCCATGTCTTATTGAAATCAAATAGTCAAATTTCGATATCACTTTAGTTTTGCTCGATGTTGGCTTCGCGTTAGATTCTTTTCATTAAAAAGCTACACTGGAGAGAAAAAGGTATCGAACGAATCCTATGTGATTTCTTGAAACTTTATTATGCCTTTATGGTATCATACAAATTTATGAAGCCTATCTTAAAGTTTTGTAATTTCATAGGTTTCATATATAATTATTCTTAGTATACGTTTCAAAGGTGTCGTACTAAAATATTTTTTTTTCTCGTCTCATTTATAATTGAGATAACTGTTCACCAATCAGAAACTTGTTCAAACCTAAAACATTCTTACCTTTATCTATCTATCATACATTTACAATATCGATGTGAAGCTAGCACGAAGAAATGTTCGAACATATAGGGATGTAACCTGTGTGAATTCATTCAACACCACTTACGGAAGCACACTCGTGATTATCCAACCTTTAAAAACCAAATGCAAAGGATTTTGAGTGACCTGAATTGGTCGTGGTAGCTTCTGATCAATATTTGCAATCACATTTGTAGATTTCATTACTATGTTTAAATTTCATATTTTTTCATAACGAGGCACTTCTAAAAGCAATAGAGGACGCATCAATGATATTACAACCAAATTATCAACGTTGACTCGTCGATACTTTCACATTTCGCTGAAAGAAACATGGCATTTACTTGCACAGCAACTCTCTCTATTCTATTTCAAAAATCGCTCTAGTTTATAAGTTTTCTATAGGTTTGGCCATGTCCGTTGCTTGAATTCACTGACAAAGCGAATTGTTGACCTTTTTTCGTATGATAGAAAGATTCTTAAGTAAATAACTTTATACTACTGACGCATTTCTTTCAATGTCACTTAGCTTTTTCTCGGGCTTATGTTAGCTTAGAGAATACGACATTTGTTCTTTTTGCATTTAACATACATCAGAGCTAATGAACACAAGGAAGAGATGAAACACATCTACATATGTATAAGTTTGTCAATATGAACATATATACAAGGGATAGAGATAGAGAAAGGCTGACACACCCATACATGTAGAAGAGTAGGTATAAGTATACGGGAAAAACATAAGTCATAGGCGTTTCTCATAGAAATAACGGGTTAAGCATACATGTAAAAGATAATATATAGGAATAGGGGATTGTATATAGATACAGGGTTTACATAGACAAGTGTTAAAATAGGTACAGTTATAAATGGATATAAACTAATATTGATAAGATATGCATGAACTGGGTGATATTATATCGTACATTGAATGTAGCTTCGAATACGAGACCTTTTTTGAAGCGAAAGAAAACCAGGACCGTACGAAATCTTTTTTGTACGAAGATTTGAGAAAAGATTTCGAATTCATTGCAAATCTCGAAACACTTTATGTTTTCTATGTCACCATTTTGTTTAGTATAGTGCCACTTTTTCCCAAGCTCCTCACAATGTTATTTGACCTTGGATCAAGCTAAAGTTCATCACTTAGAGCTAAATAATATTAGTTGTATCCTATTTCAAAACTAAACGAAGTTGTCGCATCAGGATTCTTCAAAATTTCATATTGCTCTGGCGCCCGTATAGCATGTTATTTCGAAAACTGGATATGATAACTTCAGATAGATTTGCAATAGGTTAGAAACATTATTATATGGACCAGCATGGTCGATATTGGCTTGATTTAAGATCAACAAATCTATAGAGAACCTCTGTGGAAGGTCACTCTAGCTCCTGAATGAAAACAACTAACGAGATCTTCTATGAACAACACTACGTTGAACTTCAAAAAGCATTCGCAACATATTCTTTAAGTAATTTGATAAGCCAATATTTGACTAACTGCATTTAATATGTTTCATATTCCCCTTGATGATGTTCTTCGCGATGATGGAAATCCGAGCTCGACAAGTATCATCATTGCTGTGTTTAAAAATGATGACAGTTGTTCTTCTTAAATCTATCCTTATGAGGTAAATGATGAATGAATATCACAAAAAGTTGTTTTTCTCTGTTAGGATTAATTTATCTGTTTGCTTTTCTACTTTCTTCTAAGTTACATCTTCAAACGTTTTCGAGTTTCCTAAAGTGTACTAATAAAATTTTTAAACTCAACTGCACAGTTATCATCAAGTCTTTTTTAATGACTAGCTCGATCCACATAACGAAAAAAAGTCATGCTTGATGCTTGCTGAATACGACTAGACGATAGATCGGGTCAGAGAAAAAAAGCTTCAATCAATGCCTTCGAAAGTAAGTGCTGAATACAAAACAACTTCAACTTCGACTCCACAACCTGTCTTCGTTTTAAAATGTATCGACTAATGATGCATTGGTTTTTGATTTTCAAAGTAATCTAATAGCACAGGATTAGTTTCTTGGAAATCATTGTTCCATCGAATGGTGAATAGAGAACCAGAATGTGAAGATTTTGAAAATCTCGATCACACGCATTCAAGTAATAGTTGATGATTCAACATGGCTAACTACGGATCTAACAAGTTATTTGAAAATGACTAAATGTATAACGATTAATTTCGGAGCTGAACCGAATCTACTAGCGACTCCTGTACGACGAAGTCAACAAAATCGAAAGTGAGATGTTCAGATTAGCCTGATCTTCCTTATGAAATACCTAATTTTGTATTCAAATTGAACTACAAAAAACTAATGTATTAACTACTAACTAGACGATTGCTTATAACATAGTTCAATATATTCTAGGGACTTCTTTCAAACAGTCATGACTGTAGATCGACAGCGTTTTACGTTTTTTAATGCGTCATTCTAAATTATTCAACTTACACTAGAAATGTCTAGTACGTTACTCGAATTACCATGAGCATTTTTCTATAAGATTCAACTGTTATGATAGATCTCAATATCAAATAAATGAAATATTCATTGAATGCATCAATCATCGATTGATTCTTACCAGCTCGATTAGTAATTTATCATATTCCAAGTCAAAATCTTCATCATCCAATTTGATATGGATCTCCTGTCTAAATAGTTCGTAATATAAATCTGCTGTAGCAACAGAATCGAGCCAATTGTTGTCTTGTTCTATCAGATTTCGTGTTGATAAAATCGATATGATTTTCTTTTCAGATACTTTTGCTAGTTTGATCTGTGCCAAACAATTCTCATTTTTCACATAGTTTTGACTGAAATAGATCACAATTAAATCTGTTTTTTCGAATTGTGATTCGATAGTCAAAGATAATTGATCAGAGTAATCGACGTCAACTAAATAGCCTTCATCAATTAGACGAGTAGCAAGACGATTTGATAAAATCTCATCTTTGGGACAACTTAATATGAGAATATGATATGCATTCGGTACACCATCAAATGCTAATTGTGAGTTTTGATGAGACTTCGTTGTTTCTATTTGTTCATTCGTCCGCATCGACACTATAGTTTTCTGTTTGATAATTTCCAACATGAGTTCATGTCTCTGTTTCATTTTATTAACAGCAAATGTTGAACCAATCAAATCTAATCGCTGTCGTACGTTTTGTTCGTGGGTTGGACAAATCTTTGGAAAGACGAAGTTTTCGATACAGTATTTATAGTAGACATTGATCATGTACTGATTCCAGATTTCTGGATCGAATGCATTATCAATTTCAACAGTTGTAATTATGCGTTTTCGAAGATAGTCATTGATCGCATTTTGGCATTTGATAATATTATAATTTCGTGATGTTTTCAAATGTATTGTAATCGCTAAAATGAAAATGAAAAGAAACGATTGTCAATATTAACGAGGCCCCTGTAGGTAGAAATACATTTTCAAGCAGTCAAAGGTTTAATTATGGTCATCTCATAGATTGCAACTGCAATCGGAGATAAGAAAAAAAATTTACTTCACTTTTTATTCGAATCTGAACTAGCTTTTGAAACTGTGTAAGTGAGATATCATCGAGCCTTAGCTATCACGTGTTCATATAGACTAATATATAGTGATGGTAGAAATTATATATGTTACTATATAAACTGATATACAGTGAGTCATGTGAAGCTCATCAAGTTTCTTTTATGATCAACATCTTGCTAATATGTTGGATTGATCTAGTGGACATATTGAGAGAACTGTTCTATCATTTACGAACTCTGCTTCCTTTACACAATGCATTACTTCAACATTATCAATACGATGCGATAGATTGGTTTCTGATAGGCATTAACACACTGAGTACATACTTGATATTGGGCAATAGAATTGCTCGTAGTCATTCGTCTCGGTTTGTAGTGATGAAATGGCTTGTGTAAATAGATCATACATGTCATACTGTTTTTCATCAAAAATGAATAAAATTGTCCAATCACGATTGGAAAATTCATCTGTTTCAAGTTGAAATTTCAATGCGTGAATGATCGTTTCGGCCAATTGTTTTCTGCTCGAATAATTTTCCCATTCAGTTGTAGAAACTGCAATTCTTTTCATATCGGGCGTACATAAAGTTGCAATCTGTGTTAAGAAAGATGAAACGAATTCTTTTATCGGCCCTTCAAGAATGGTTTCCGTCTGATCGTTATCATGTTTTATTGAAGGGGGCACCCATGGAATAAATAGAATATTCCTACCAGTATCTGTTTCACAGTAAAAATTGTCGCAATTAGGTTTTATTTGTTCTTTAACAGCATCCGTAACCGTCGAAATAATAGTAATATCTACCTAGAACAACAACGATTAGAGATTAAAAACAAACAAAATGATTTTTGACAGAACTGACTGGTGGTGCTGTTAAATCTGTTGTTTTATGAATTTCTATACCACCAGTTGATATCGATAGTCTTTTCAACATCTTTAATGCAGCAATAAATCGATTTGATTGTTGAATAATAAATGTTGACGTTGATTTTATTGTAGATGTTCTCCTAGCTTTAGGTAGTTTAATGACTTCATTTTTGGTTTGAACGTCTATTCTATCAATTTGACAATTATATTTTCGAGTAATTGTTTCGATTTCCAAATGTTCGTTTGTTGTCATCATACAAGCATTTTCGATACATTGAAAAATAATGGTTGCTGTTTGAAACACTAAAGCATTAATCAACTGTTTGATTTTCGATGCCAAATATTGCGGTGCATAAAACAGATTTTCACGTATTTGGATTTTCACATTGTCATCTTTGTATTTCAATTCAATATTCTTCAATTGATGAACACAATTGTCTAATACATATTCACGCTAAAATAAAAAAATTAATCAATATATCGACGAACTACTTTGATATTATGGAAGACACAAAAATACAGTTTGAATAGTCAGTAAACAAGGAAAACTTTTCAAGAATATTTTCGTCCGTGTATTGTAGATGAGAGTGGCGTACGTCAAGTTAGTAGCCTTCACCCAATTTCTGAAAAGTTATTTCCACATTCAGTGAAGTCTTAATACACTGTTTTCATCTAAGTTCATCCGTTGTGCAAATTTGAGTCTGCGTTATAGGATTTTCGCGGTACTGGATGAGGAACTAATATCAGATCTCAAGTTTTTCGATGTTGCTATGAAAAATTTCCAGCTAGTCTATGAATACTGATCAAAAAGGTAGAGATGGTATTCTTTCTCCCAGCCCTGCTTATATTTTTAATTGTCTGAGAAACTCATGACAATTTTTGAATATAGTCTGCAGAATTTTCTTCCTTTCTGGTACAGCTTCCTTAGAGAATAGCCAATGTCTTTTCGATAAGCTTGTCAACACAGCTCTATTAAAGCTAAAATGTGAAGTGCACAACAAAATGACTACGTTCGACACTAGAGAACAGTCAGAGTTGAATTTACTGAGTGTCTGATTTGTGTTTTTGTTATATTTCTCACACTTTCTCATTTTCTTAAATATCTTCATTCTTTTTCAACTATTACGATGTTTTTCGTTTAAATTCATTTTTCTTCATTCTGTTTCATCTACGTATGTCTTGTAGATGGATGATAACTGCTAAAAAACCATCACTCAAGAAAAGTCTGGCGTGACTAGAGATGTGCTAAACAATGGCCCATATACTAGTATTGACTTTATCGCTGACACATTGGATATATTCCGTGGCAATATGAAGAAAAGTTTCGTCTAGGCGAGTATCCAACGATTCCAAGTAACAACAATGACAGCGATGGACGACTATTTATACTAAAAACTTGCAAAGGTTTGACAATGGTAGATTACGATGAAATTTTGATTTACCATCGTAACTTTCAATCAAAACTACAATCGAAATCGTGTGCATCAACAGAAAAAGTTTCTCTACCATCGCGAAGAGGCAACGATTCTATATCAGTTTCCTTATAACTACTACATCGTTACTAATTGATAAAATGTCCTTTGAAGCATATATATTGATGATATCAATTGCCAAAGTGAATATTTAAATTCGACACTCGACATGTTATTGAAAAGGATCATATGTTAATGATAGTGCTATCAACTAATTATATGCAAGAGGGAAAAAGTTTTCAGTGAAATCTATATGAGAAAAAATATGAAATACGATGGATTCGTTCCACGCGTAAACGGTAGCCCTGCCCACATCGGTCATACTATCTGCAAGAGTGAGATGAAATGACATATTAACATATCTACTATGGTAGGTGACGCTAGAGAATTTTATTCATTCTGTATGTCTGTCCTTCACGTGTCTTTTGTAAGGCAAACGGAATGGGAATGGGTGGTATCAGTACGGGTTGTCATATTCCTATTAGTGTTACCAGTAAGTGATGGCAATTATCATGTAACGATAAATTGAAAATGAATGAACTAATAATTTCATCATACAAATAAACCATTACTATGACATGTGCAAGTAGAAGTAATTCACGACACACACTACGAATGTTCGATATAAAGAAATCCAGTGAATGCCTTCTCATCAATAGGTTTTTTTAAATGTTAGAACTTTTTGACTGTCTTAAAAACGGAACTTTTTGTAACCTAAAAATCATACGATATTATGCTGGTGTCTGAGAAACACGATGCACGATCACCTAGGAAAGTTTCTTCGAAGTACAGTTGGTTACTTGTTACAGAAAATTAGAGATTGATAGCTACTAGCACTGCCCAGCT